TGCTTCATAGGGGCCCCCTTCTTCCCCTCAGGGCCCCCTCTAAGCTTTATGGGGGCCCCCCTCCGCTTTATGGGGGCCCCCCTCCGCTTCATGGGGGCCCCCCTCTGCTTCAGGGGGGCCCCCCTGTGCCCTGTGGGGGCCCCCGTTTGCTGTGGGGGGGCCCCCGTTTGCTGTGGGGGGGCCCCCGTTTGCTGCGGGGCCCCTCACCCCACAGCGCTGCTGCTGCTTTAGGCGGGGGCCCCCATGAGGGGGATGGGGGGCCCCCTGAGATTCCTGATATGTTTGATGTAGCAGACGACTTAGACTTGCAGCGCGAAGCTGCACATAAAGAAATTTTAACTCTTATTGAAGAAGAAGAAGACAGGAGGCAAGCACAGCGCCACGCAGGGCGTGCTGCTCAGCCACTTGCAGCAGCAAACATCAGCAGCAGCAGCAGCAGCAACAGCAGCAGCAGCAAAAGAGCTACAGTGGGAGATCGGCTCTGGCCTTTGAGCTCTTCTCAAGATCCTGCTGCTGAATTGTTGTCTCTCTTTGAACCCCCTGATGCTGCTGCCGCTGCTGCAGCAGGTGGTTCTGCTGCTGCTGCTGCTGCTGCTGCACCAACAGGTTCTGGTGCTGTTGCAGCAGCAGCAGTACCTGTCGCAGCTGCAGATACTGCCTATTCTTTGAGTAGCAATAAAATAAAGCAAAGGGAAGCAGACAGCAGCAGCAGCATTACAGGGGCCCCCACTGCGGCGCAGAATCTGCTGCATGGGGGCCTCTCTCTTGCTGCTGCAGCAAAGGTGCTGCAGCGCCTCGTTGCTGCTACTCCTTTGCGTGGAGAGCATCTAAGACAAGACCCTCGCTTTAGCAGCTTATTAGCTGTTATAGACTGGGGCATGCAGCAGCAAGTGCTACTCATGGCCAGCAGCAGCAGCAGCACCAGCAGCAACAGCAGCAGCAACAGCAGCAGCAACATGGGCACTACCACCGTCAACAGCAGCAGCAGCAACAACAGCAGCAGGGTCAGCGTATCTGACTTGTGCAGTGTTGCTGCTTCTCTGGCTTCTCTAAAGCTGCGGTGGGGCATAGACAATTTGCTGCGCTCTTTGGTGCTGCTGGGGATTAAGAGAGCAGCAGACTTCAACCTGAAGGAAGCAGCAGCCTTCCTGCTGCACCTTGCTGCAGCAGCAACACCAACTTATAACCCAATACAAAAGACAATACTTCACAAATTCAGACCCCCTCTCGCTGCAGCCTTTCGTCGAGCTGTTGTTGCTGCTGCTGCTGCTTCTGGCAGCAGCAGCAGCAGCAGCAGCAGCAACAGCGTCAGCATCAGCAACAACAGCAGCAGCAGCAGCAGCAGCAGCGTGGAGAAGGACAGGTATTCAGCTTTTGAGTTGTGCCGATTGCTGCTGCTGCTGCTGCCTCTTTTTTTGTCTTTCGATTTGCTTGGAGATGAACTGCCGCACTGTCTGCAGCTGCTGCTCACTAACGGCCCCTGGAAGGCAGCAGCAGCAGCAGCAGCAGCAGCAACAGGAGCAGCAGCAGCAGCAACAGCAGCTGAAGCAAATGCAGCAACAGATGAAGTAGCTGCAACAACAACAGCTGGAGCAGCGGTAGCTGAACCCACAACAGCAGCAGCAGAAGCAACAGAAGCAGCAGCAGCAGATGCAACAGAAACAGCAGCAGCAGAAGCAGCAGCAGCAGCACTAGCAGGGGCCATCAGACCCGGGGAGCTTGCTGCAGCAGCAGCAGCTGCTGCTGCTTCACCGCAGCTGGAGCAAAACAAGAGCCTATGGAAGCATTTAAAAGAAGCAGCAATAAAACTCAGCAAAACCCTAAACCCTAGAGAAGCAATCACCTTCTGCACAACCCTCAACCAAGTAAAACCCTAAACCCTAAACCCTAAACCCTAAACTATATGCCTGAACTCTACGGCCGAACCCTAAGCCCCAAAGCATAACTTTAAACCCTACAGCCTAAGCCTAAACCCTGCCGATAAACCCTAAACCCTAAACCCTAAACCCTAGGTGAGTTTGAGTCTTCATGTGTCGCCTGTTGGTGTTTATACCTCTAACCAAGAAGAGCCTGTTGCAGGTGCATTAGGGTTTACTAGGGTTTACTAGGGTTTACTAGGGTTTATTAGGATTTTATTAGGGTTTGCAGGGTTTGTAAGGGTTTATAAGGGTGATTGAGGGTTTATTAGGGTATATTAGGGTTTACTAGGGTTTACTAGGGTTTGTTAGGGTTTACTAGGGTTTATTAGGGTTTATTAGGGTTTACTAGGGTTTACTAGGGTTTATTAGGGTTTAGGGTTTGTAAGGAGTTGTTTGTTTGGTGGGTGTGCAGGTAGAAGAAGAATATACACAAGTGCTGCTGAGCGTTAGGCAGCAGCTGCAGCAGCAGCTGCCGCTGCTGCCTTCTTCAAGTGTACGTGCTGCTGCTGCTCTTGCTGCTGCAGCTTCACAGAGACACCCCGAGATGCAGCAGCTGCTGCAGCTGCTGCAGCAGCAGCTGC